CCCGCCCGGGGGGGGGGGGGGGTCATGGGCTCCCCCCGCCTCGCAGGCAACCCGACTCAGGAGACACCGTGTCAAGAGAAAGGGGCCAGGAGGGTGGGGACGGGGCCCTGGGCAGCCTGCAGGCGCACCGTGTCCCAGGCGAGGAAGGCCCCTCTCCCCAGTGCCAGGCTGGTCATGAGCTTGACGACCAGGCGGGTGCAGCTGTCCCCCGTCATCACCTTGGAGTAGCCGTGGGTCCGGGCCACATGCAGGATCAAGTGGGTCCTGCAGGGCAGGGCAGGGGGTCTCAGGGGCCCAGGTAGGGCAGGCCCAGAACTCCAGGGGGCAGGGGGGAGAGGGTCTCAGGACCTGGGTGGGAGGGATGGGGCTGGCACCCTGGGGTGGCAGAGAACTCACCGCAGCGTCTGCAGAAGCTCCTCCTTGGCCGTCAGCGTCTTCACTGAGTTGAACAGCCTGGACAGAGCCTCAGTCTGGCTGGCTGTGGGTGGCCCAGCCCGGCCCTGGGGGTGCTGGGGGCAGGGCTGGCTCTGCTTGTCCTCCCCCAGGGCATGCTGCTGCCGCAGGAAACTGTCCACGGCCGCCTTGTAGGCTCCCTCGGTCCCCACCGGCTCCCGGGCAGAGCAGCGCAGCACAGACGGCAGCAGGCTGAACACCTTGTGTATTTTGGGGCGGGGGGAGTGCGTGAGGGCCAGCCCACCCCACGTGCGGAAACAGGCCGGCGCCCCTCTTGGACACCCAGCAGTCACCCCCGGGCGCTCTAACAGGGACAGCCTGCCCACCTCTTCCAAGGCAACGATGTGCCACGGGAAGCCGAGGGTCTGCAGGACCAGCTTCGCCTCGGCCAGGGTTTTTTCTCTGTCCTCTGGGCTCTGGCCACAGGCTGCTCCCTCTGAGAACCGCAGGCAGAAAGAGTAAGGTCAGGGCCAAGGCCATTGCACCCTGGAGGGCGGCAGAGTCTCTGGACGCTGACCTGGGTCCTTGGAGGGCATTTTTAGAGTGGCTGGTGGGTTCTGTTTTGGTTGGGGAGAAAAGGGGGGCAAAGAAGGGCAAAGGAGTCGCCCTCCTCATTCAGTGCCCTTGACCCCGTGACAGACGCACGCCAGGCAGATGCTCCCGCCCAATCCTGGACGGTCTGAGATTTAAGACAGCAGCGCCTGCCTGTCGAACACAGGCAACATCTCAAGAGAAACGCCCCCGCCAGGGCTTTGCGTGGGCACAGCACCAGCCGTCAGTGGGCCCAAACGAGCACCACAGCCCGGGAGGAGCAGCAGCGACACGTACCATCGGTGTAGACAACCCCTGGCACGAAACGCAGTCTCTTGGCAGAATCTTGACTCAGGCCCTGGGGTGGACATGAAAGGGCCTCAGATCCACAGCCAGGTGCTGGACAGAGCCGGGGCGGGCCGCTGCTCTCACACCCTCCGGCCAGGGCTAGGGGACCAGGAAGCGAGCGCAGAAGGCCAAGCACAGAAGCGCTGTGCTGAAGCCCAGGGCCGCCTCCCGTTAGCCCTGGTACAGACCGCCCCACAGCCCCTCACAGAACCCAGGGAATCCGTGCGTGTCCCACGCGGGCCAAGGCCTCCGACGCCCAAGCTGAGCCTGCCGGGCGCCGCCCCCATGCCCCCTGCCAGTCTCCGCCCTGCGCCCCTCCGCCACCCGGCTGCGCCCCGGCTCCTCTGGGTCTCCCTCAAACTTCTCAGGGAAGCCACCCTGCTCCCCCGCCAGAACCAGGCCCTCTAGGCCCCCGAAATGCCTGCTCACTTCACCATCCTGACACACCACCAGGACTGCGGGGAGGGCCCTGGGCCCCAGGACACTCTGAGGGGCGCTCTGGCGTGGCACACATGGCTTCCCAGAAACGTGTTTCTAACGCAGTCCAGCAAAGGGATGGGGCGCTAAACCGAGACATGGCTGGCACTCCGGACACCGCTTCGGGGGCCTGTGCCCCTTGTGCACACGTCCCAGAGCCCTCGGGTGTCCTAGCTGGGGAGTGGGCCTGTCTCCCCAGCCCCAAGCAAGAGCCCCTCGGTGCCAGCCCCCCACCCTGGAGCTCGGCCGGGCACAGCCTGGGTGCAGGACGGTGTGCAGGCGTACCTCAAGGACCTGCCAGAGCATGGAGCTGGACGAAGGCCCCCCGGACCACGCCAGGAGCACCTGGGGGAGAAGGAACATCACCGGAGGCACTGCGCCCCCAACATGCCCCACCCCTGCCCACGGACGTCCCTGGACATGAGGCCACCCCCCAAGTCCAGGTGTGCGGGATGTGGCCGGGACAGGCCGCCTGCAGGAGGGGGCGCCACACCCTACCTTCTCCCCCGGGAAGATCAGCCGGTTCTTTCCAAGCACGGCTCTGAACTTGTGGACGTAAAAGGCCTTGAAACAGTCCCTGCAACACAGACCAGCAGCAGCTGCAGCAACACCGCCCAGGCCACCCGCCCGCCGTGAGAATGGGGAAGCTGTCCGCCCCTGCCTCGCAGGAGGCCGGCCTGACGCTCCGCCGGGTTACGTTCTCTTTTAGCAGCTTCCACCCTTAAAAGCAGTGTCTTGACGTCGAGGCTGCGCCCAAAGACTGGCAAGGGGAACCAGGGTTGAGGGGTTCTCACCAACTGTGGCTGCCCCAGGATGGGCCTCACATCACACAGGAAGGCCCGCTTGGGTCACCCCCCCAATTCTCACCACTGTGAACTGCAGCTACTCAGGGAGGCCCAGCTGGCGGAAGGGATGGAAGGGCATGCACAGGGCAAGGCCACCCTGACCCCTCCCTAGGCAGAGTAGCTGACCCCTTCCAAGACCCCCGTGCGGAGGCACTGAGCAGGCTGTGGGGTCAGGGGACTAGCATCCTGAAGCCCCACACTGGCCTCCAGAAATGCCCCGGAGGCTCCCACAAGCGCGGAGAACCGTAACTTCGACGGGGCCTAGGACCCTGCATGCTTGGCCAGCCCTCCAGCTGAGCCTGGGGCTCACCAGGTCAGGGGTTCTTAGCCTTGGCCGCACATGAGAGTCACTCAGGCCGACCACGTCAGGATGTATCAGGTGAGACCCAGGCACCCACGTTTAAAAGCTCCCCAGGGCAGCTCCCCGGAGGTCCAGCGGTTAGGACTCGGCACTCTCACGGCCATGGCCTGGGTTCCACCCCCGGTTGGGGAACTAAGATCCCGCAAAGCCGCACAGGATGAGAAGGGAAGGAAGGAAGGAAGGAAGAAGAGGGAGGGAGGGAAAAAAGAAACAAAGCAGCGAGGACCTCCCTGGCGGTCCAGCGGGTAAGACTCCGCGCTCCCAACGCCGGGGGCCTAGGTTCAATCCCTGGTCGGGGAACTAGATCCCACATGCCGCAATTAAGAATCCACGTGCGGCAACTAAGAAGTCCTCATGCCACAACCAGGAAGTCTGCATGCTGTAACAAAGATCCCGCGTGCCGCAACTAAGACCCAACACGGCCAAAATAAATAAACAAATGCTGAATATATAAAAAAGAAAGAAGTGTAAGAAAGAAAAGGAAGAAAGAAAGGAAAGAAGAGAGGGACAAAAAGACAAAGATGAGAAAGAAGAAAAGGAAAAACAGAAGGGAGAGAGAAAACAAGAAAGAGAAAGACAGATGGAGAGACAAAAAAGAAGGAAAGAAAGGAAAAAAGGGCAGAAAGGGAAGGGAGGGAAAGGAAGGAAGAAAGAGAGAGAGAGAGAAAGCAAGCTCGCTCCCCAGCAGGCAGCCAAGGTGGACAACAGTGCCCGGAGCAGCAGGGAGCGGAGCGGCCCCAAGCCTGGGGCTGTGCCCCCGTATCTATTGCCTTCTTCCTGTACGCACGTGCTGGTATCACAGCAGTGCCCCCAACGCCAAGCAGGCACCACTTACGAACTGCGGACCAAACACCCCGAGGCACCTCTGTGGATGGTAACTCAACTCCGTTTTAGCAGCAAATCACTGGGGCTCCAGGGACCCCAGGAGACCAGCCATGGGAGTGACTCCTGGAAGGTCAGGGCCCAGGGAGGGTCCTCAAGCAGACACAGATGCTCACGGCGGCAGAGAGGACCCCGTGGCTGCTGCACCCATGTCTCCCCAGCACCACTAAGGCTCCTGAAACCACATGCGCCCTGTGGGTCAGGCAAGGCCAGGGTTTCCGACATGCTGAACCTCCCGTCACTGAGGAAACTTGCTCAAAACCTAGACTGCCAGAACCTGCAACCCGGAAAATCAGCCTCCCACCTCTTCCCGGGACTAAGCAAGCGGGGGAGGGGGAGCCTTGGGCCCAGGAGGAGTCACTGCGGCCTCTCTTCTTATCTGTGAGTTCTCCAAGCAGACTGGAGAGGTCATTGTTTCTAGATACTCTTACGTGCTTAAAGCAGTGACTTCCTTGCCTAAAACGTTATTTCCTGATGGCACACACCAAGTCTGCGAGGCCCCCCAAAGATGGGCAGGTGTGAGGAAGTCTGGGGAAAACAACTTATTCCGTCCCTTCGGTTTCTCTTTCGGAAACTTTTAGAAAGCAGAGTCCAGTACTCTGGAAGACCAACTGAAAAATGTGAGCCCATCACTCATTCAACATGCGTTCGTTCGCTATACAAGGCATGCAATGTCACCAGAAATTCATAGGTATAAAACGGGAGACAGGCCCTGCCCTTGTGGAGCTATGAATCCAGCGAACGTGATCAGATATTGGAAGTTATGATTCAAGGGCAACGTGACAGGGCCACAGAGAGCTTCAGATAAAACCGAATATGCTCAGGCCTCTCTGGGAGTAAGCCGCTGCTGTCCAAAGGTCCTCCCAGAGCTGGGAGAAGACTACAGCCCGCCTTCCATCCCTCTCTCTCTCTTGCAAGTCAGACAGCATCATGAAAAGCACCTGCCAGAGACACCAGGCTGCTCCAATCTGCCCCTATATGCGTTCCAGCTGCCCCAAAGAGCTCTTCCCACACACCACGCTCCACTTTCACCCCCAACTCTCCCCGTAAGCTCCATCAATACCTTCCTGCCACCTGACCAATGGCTGGATGATGGGAGAATGGCACTCACACAAGAAACCTGCACACACACAGACACACCAGCAGGACGTTAGAAGCAGGAGTAAAGTGGTAAGATGCTTTCAAAAGCAAGAAACAAAGCCATAGGGCTTCCCTGGTGGCGCAGTGGTTAAGAATCTGCCTGCCAATGCAGGGGACACAGGTTCAAGCCCTGGTCCGGGAAGATCCCACATGCAGCGGAGCAGCTAAGCCCGCGTGCCACAACTACTGAGCCTGCGCTCTAGAGCCCGTGAGCCACAACTGCTGAAGGCCACGTGCCACAACTACGGAAGCCCGCGCACCTAGAGCCCGTGCTCTGCAACAAGTGAAGCCACCACAATGAGAAGCCTGCGCACCGCAATGAAGAGCAGCCCCTGCTCACCGCAAAGCCCGCGCAGAACAACAAAGACCCAACACAGCAAAAAATAAATAAAATAATTTTTTTAAAAAAGAAACAAAGCCACGGATATGGGGGCAGTCCTGGTTACTGAGCGAGACCGTGTGTACCAGGTCGCCTGCCACCTCCATGCCTCACCTGCAGAAAGCATCTCCGGCTCGGATCACCACAACAGGCAGGCCTTCCTTGCACTTCACACATTTCTGCTCACGGCTTGAGACGTGGGTGGGGGGGTGGGGGGTGGAGAGAACAGGAACACAGGTTACACCCCTCTCCCGGGGGCTTCAGGGAGACGGTAGCCTGTTTCTCACCCCAAACTGTTGTACGAGAGGTCACTGGGGCCTGGGACGTGGGGGCGGGGGCGCACCACACAAACTACGGCTTGTATCTTATCCAAACTACCACTCCGGGGAAAGACCAAGGCCCTAGGGAGATTTCCGTCTGTTAAAGCCAACTCAGTGGGCTCAATCTCTCAGGGGCTGGCACAAGAAGAGAGCCAACTTGCTCTCTGCGGCCCTGGAAGGGGGAAGTGGAGCCAGTGGGTAGAAAAGACAGGGAGGCCGACTTTCGGCCAGCTTGGTCAGCGGCGAAGCCGTCCCACTGGCTGCAAGAATTAGAGGTGCGAGAGCGCACAGTGTTTACCACGGGCTTGCCAGGCACTCTCCGGGTGCTGCGGAGCGAGGTCCACCCCCGACCAGAGATTCCGGGACTCCTGGGCCCCGCCCTCGGCGGTCTCCTGGCTTCCCGGGGCCCTGAGCGTAAAGTGCGGGCCGGCCCCTCGGGGCAGGGCTCGCCGTCTGCGGGAGCGCCGGAAAGAAAGCGGCGGGTGCGGCCGTCCAACTCTTACCCGGGCCGTGGCGGCGGCGGCCCCACGGGCGCGGGCTCCCGGTAGTCCTCGCTCACCTCGCACATGGCGGCTCCGTGTCACGGGGCGTGGGGGTCGGCGGCGACGGCGGCGGCGCGCCCTGACTACATCATCAAGGCGCCGGCGCGGCCGTGACGCGCGGGCGAGGGGCGGGCGCGCCATATGACGTCATCTCGGCGCAGCCATGACGCGCGGGCCGGGGGCGGGGCGCTCCCTATGACGTCATCCCGGCGCCGGCGCGGCCGTGACGCGCGGGCCGGGGGGCGGGCGCTCCCTATGACGTCAACTCGGAGCCGGCGCGGCCGTGACGCGCAGGCCGGGCCGGGCCGGGCCTGGCCGGGACAGGGGCGGCGGCGGCGGCGGGCCGGGCCCCGGGGATGGCGATGTTCCGCAGCCTGGTGGCCTCGGCTCAGCAGCGGCAGCCGCCGGGCGGGCCCGCGGGCGGCGACAGCGGCCTGGAGGCGCAGTACAGCTGCCCCATCTGCCTGGAAGTCTACCATCGGCCCCTGGC